TGGTACTACAAGGTCATTAAGATAAGATGGGGCCTGATTATTTAAGACCTTGTATGTGAGGAGCAGGATTTTGAATTCTGGATTTAACAGGAAGCCAAAACAGGAGAAATCTGCTCTCTCTTTTTAGTCCCTGTCAGTACTCTTGCTGCATCACGGTAACGAGTGACCCTGTCAGCTGAGCCGTGTCTAAATGCATTAGATTTCTGCCATATTATTATTTAGGGATTTGTTAGGTGTGACTAACAAAATGCAGTTAGAGCATGTGTGTATTTACATAGCAATGAGTTATATATATAAATATGTATCACAACATAAACATTGCATGTTTTGAAGCATCAGATTGGACTCTTCACTTCTTAAATACATTTTTTAAAATGCTGGATGTTACACTTCTGGCTCTGTAGAGCTGCCACCTATAATATCTCAGCTGCCAGTGACGCTAACCTGAGGCACCATCTGAAGGGCATGGGTCAAACAGGTGGTGAGTGGATTCAGGGGTCACCTGTGACGCCCTGGTTTTCCTGAGGCAGGAGGAGCTGCCAATGGCCTCCAAGGCTGGCAGAAGGCAGCGAAGGATCTTTTAGGCAGCCTTCTTGTTCTCAGTTGTGGCCTCTGCGTACCAGCACCAGGCATGGAGCGTCAGAAGGTCAGCAGCAGCTTCTGGTCCTCACACGGAGGAAGTGCAGCTGCTGCCAGGCCGCCTTTACTGGGGTGAGACTGGCAGAGATGTGGGTGCCCAGCAACCTGAAGATGGAGACAGATTCTACTCATTTTCTATTGACGACGTCAGAGGAATGACCTGTCTGTGTCCTGAAGTCCATTACGAGTTACATTCAGTTTCAGGTTTTCTGAGCACCAGCAGGACAAACCTCTGCCCTGTCTCACAATGTTTAACCATATTTTTGTGATTAATATTTTTATGCTGCTTTGTAGAGTTTTAGAGTTTTTATTCTGTGAATGATGGTCCTGTAAGAACCTTAAAAGACGATAAAACATGGTGTGATGTGACTTTGATGGAGGGTTCACCTTGACCACCAGCTTCCATGTGCTTACACGTACGTACGAAGTGTTTTTGTCAAAGTTCAGGCGGATGGATGAGCGTCATCCTATCAACACCACTTATTTGTTGGCAGATGGCAGCCAAAGCAGTCTTTACGCTGAATCCCCCTGTTTGAAACAATTTTGACTTGTATCATTTTTTTTATTATTATTATTTAATTGATTATATGCACTTGATTTTCTTCCTTTGAATGACAGAACAAGAGAAAACTGCACAGACTCGTTTCATGAGATCTGTTCTCTTTCCAGCTCCTGTCAAAGTCGCTGCCAGTCTGAGCTCTCCAAACATATCCACTCATATCAGTCACGTCAGGGTTTTCTTCTTGCCCTTTTTTAGATGTTTTGTGTTTATACTGTAGATAAAAGTGTGTCTGAAAAGTAAAACACGAGAACCTTAAACTTGCATTTTCTGCGATGGTCATCAAGGGCCGACTCATCGATCGAAAAAGCCCGATTGGATAGATCACTTCCTCTGTGACTCCAGTAATTTACCAGTAATTAAATTTTATGGACTTGAGCTTAAGTGGAGACATTTTATGTTACATTTAAATAATATGAAGGTCATTTTGTCAATTGTGGTTTATTTTTCAAAACTCAAAGAATAAGC